GTGTGAATGGGAGGGATGAGGGGCATCAAGGATTTAAGGGTATCGATCAGAGTTGAAACGCGACACGTTTTACGTAATTACGCGATGGTACAACGTCAATTAATACCGTATTACGAAATCTCTGGCTATTTGCATCACACGGACGTTGCCCATCTGTGTCTAGGCCTCCTAGCCTTCTGCAGCTTATTCAAAGACATTCGTTATTCTTGCTGCTACGCCGCCGATTACAAACCGGCTATTGCGCAATCCGTATCCGCGTTTCTTCTCCCTTTCAACCGCCCTTTCGCCATTTCCCTCTTAACTTTTCTCCATAATAGTAAAAAAGTCTTAATTTTACGCGTGCTTGTTGAAATTTCGTTGCAACTATCCCAATATTTCTCTAAATTCCGTTAATAATTGCAGATCTTTTAAAAATTTCATCGAGTAAATAACGTACAAATGTTTTTCCGATTACGAGGGAAAATTTTTTAATATTAATCTGTAATTGCGGGAAAAAGAATCGAATTTCTCTCAACTCGTGAAATTTATTTTACAAGCGAAACAACAAAACTCGAGATCGCCCGTTCGTTCGAAGATACGATAGTAATTCTGTAAACAAACGCTTCTGTTGTAAACAGAAGGAGGGAACCTTGAAAGTTTCATTAATAACAAGATTTCCACCGAAGCACACAGTCGAATAGATGAAACGAAACGAAAAGTGCCACGTATCATTCGACGAACGATTCTCGTTACTGCACACCTGCTTCTGTAATCGTGAGTTGCGTAACACCGGTAATTGAACATGCTACAAGTTTTGCATATATAAAAATATATATATATATTTTCTCGAGAAGAAGATTGAATAGCTCGCTCGAAAGAACTTTGTTCCGATCGTTCGATAACTAGTTTCTCGTTCCCTTTATTAGAGATGCGATTTGCATCCCATTAGAAAACAGGATCGTCCGATTCTATTTTTTCCTCTTCTCCTGTTTTCCTTCCATCATTGCAATCAATCGTTCAATTCCCCGTGATTTTCCTCTGCTCGATCTCGCTTATAAGAATCTACAATAATCTATACGCGAGTTTATAATACATTTCGTAAAGTAATTTCCGAATTCGACACTCGAACATCGATTTCTCGAGTCGTTGTTCGTCGGTTTGATTCGATCGGTGAATTTATTTCGTCTTTGTCAACTTCATTTGAAACGAAATTGTCGGAACGAAATTTTGAAAACTAGTTTTAATATTGGCGCACTGTTACTTACATCTTTTCCATAGATTTCGCGTAACTTTTTTCTTCTGAACAGTATTCTTATCTTTTCGGTAACAAAAAGATAAAATACGCCGAAAATGTTTCTTCTGATCTTGCATCTTGTATTATCACGCACAAAAAACACAACCGCACATAGAATCGAACGAATTTTTCTTATAAACAAACCACATGAAATATCAATTCACAAAATATATAATAGCATGGTTAAGAATGAAGTTGGTTGGTTAAAATGTTCGACTAGCGACACTCGTGTGAAAAAACGTAATTATTTTCCGACCACCTAATGTAATCGTCTCGCGATTAAAGACAACTTCGTTTCTCATTGCTTATTCTCTATTTGTTGCGATTGCGAAACGTACGATGGAGGATAAGTGATACAAAATAAGTGATTTGAGAAGGAAAAATCAACAATTTTTGGGATCCTACGATCTCTTTTGAAATTAATCCTTGATTAATTTCAAATAACCCATATTTCTTGCGAAGACAATTTTTTCCACGATTCGTGAATTTAAGAGGACGCGACGAACTTTTCGTTTTGGCGGTTCGAAAGATGGCCGAATTGTGCAAAATTATCTTTTTCCGATTTTGAGATTAAATGGAGATTCACAAAAACAGGTAAAAAACTTATTAAAATATTAAAATAGATGTTTTGAGATATCATATCCGTTAAAAAAATTGAAACTTAAACATTTCTTAATAAATTTACAGAATATTTCTCGATTATTGAAACGTGACCGATCGATGTGTATTTTATTTAATCTGTACATTTAAAGAGAGGATTAAAAATTTTAATGCACGAGAATTTTTATAATTGTTATGTTGTTACATCGGAGCAATTATTTTTTTTTAAATTTGAAAATGAATTTCCCCCACTTTTAATACATTCTTCGAATCACTGTGTGACGTGTCCGGTCTGCGACTTCTGCGATTAACGCAAACGCAATTGAGGGAGAGGTTAGAAAGCTGTGTCGAGGCATGGTCAAAAATAATGTCCCTTGTGCACGGTCTTTTAACGAAAGGCGACGAAAATAAGGATGGTGGTTGCTCGCGCAAGAGAGAGAGACGGGACGGACGGATAAATCACGGTCGAGACGTAGTCGCAGACAAAAATCGTAAAAGAACCGGGGAGGAGCACCCTCGATGCTCGATTTTTCTTTCGTTCGTAGAATTTGATTTTCATGGGGATTCTGTGAATGCTCTTTCGAGCGGATATTGAAGGAAAGATGACCGATAGAAATAAAGGAGAATAAATAGAGGAAGTTAAGAAGAAAAATTGAGGGTAAAATAATAAAGATGAATAAGGGAGCTTTTCTTTATGGATAAGTAAGATGGTGTGTAGATAAGAAAGAAAATAATATAAAGAAGGTAAGAGCATTCTATTTGTTGGTTTGTGATTTGGAAAAGAAATAGCAGAAAAAGATAGAGGAATAAAATTAAAGTAAGTGGTATATTGATGCAGAAGAGAGAGAAAATTGTTGATTTGTAATTTGAAAAAGAAATAACAGAAGAAGAAGAATTGTAGATAGAAAAAGTTAGAAAAGTTATAAAAGAAAAGAATTGAGAATATTTAATTTATAAAAGTAGGAAGTATGGAGGATAACAATTTGGTAAGATTAATGAGAAAGAAATATAAAGTTGTTGGTGACTTGAAAAAGAAATAGTAAAAGAAGAACTGGAGATAGAAAAAAATTAAAAAAATTAAGATTAAAAGATTATTCCTTTTGATTTGTGAATTGGTAAAAGGAAGAGAAGAACTTGTAAAAGTAGAAAGTATAAAGATTTGGTAAGTTTCCATTTATGAATAAGTATTGTATTGATCAAGAAGAAATATATAGAGGAAAGAGGAAGTTAAAAAAGTTGAAAGTAAAAGTAATTCTTTTTGGTTTGTGATGAGAGAAAAGAAGAATTGAGATTACTTGATTTGTGATGTAAAAGATGTAAAATATGGAAGATAAAGATTTGATAAGCTTTCATTTATGAATAACTGGTAATGAGGAACAAATATAGAAAAAGAAGTATAGCAGAAGAAGGAGGTAAGCTTCCATAAATAAGAAATACGGAGGATAAAGAAAAGTTAAAGAAAGAAAGCTATTCCTTCTTGTCTATGAAATAGCTGATTGCAACAAACGAATTTTTAACATAAAATTTTTTCTTAATCCTTCGATTCGATATCGTTTCGTTATTCGACCATACAGATTTCGTGCACGAGAAACGAATTCGATCGCGCGGAGTGGAATTTCCAAGCCTTTTTCAAACGTTCTGCTTCACGACTCGCGACTATTTTCGGTGATTTTATTCCTGTCAGGAGGAGGACGGCCATCTTTCTCCGCTCCGTTTCAAACGCTTTTTTTCGTCGCGTCTCGATCTCTTTTTCCGAAACGTCTCGAAAGGGCTTCTTCTCCCGCGTTTCGCCGCGTCTTCGTCGCGACTGGTGAAAGCCTGTGCAACCTTGATTTTATAACAAAGGTTGCAGCTAATGCGCTTCGTAACTCATTGCCTCATCGAGCATTCAGATTTTTTCGTTCTTTTTTTTTTTTTTTTTTACTAATCAATTTTATTATTGATCGAATTCGTTCATTTTTTCTATAAATCAATATTCTCAATTTTTTCCTACTTTTCAATTTTCATTTTCAGAATCTGTCAGGAATAATATCGTTATAAAATTTTCCCAAATAAATCGGAGAAACGAGCATTCGTGGCATGTTAAGTTGATTAATAAATCAAGAAGAAAAAAGTGTGCAGTCTTTTTTCTCGCAGCGGAATTACGATGATTATGATTATCTGGAGGGGAATAGCTGGAGGATCAGCGAAATGAATTCAAATAAATATTATTTTAAAATTTCTTCGATGGATGGAGGTTCGAAAAAGTTGTTCGAAGTGATGGAAAATCGATCTCGATTGATTGCATCTCGTTCGTCGGTGTGGAGAGATGGATCGTGACTCGTCGATTGGTATTGCGACGATAGCACAATGAGAATGCAAATAAGGAGATATGCATGCCTGTTAATTGCACCCGATGATATCGAGTCGAATAATAACAATCGAACTGCGCCTGAAGAAAACAAACTTTTTCAATGATAATGCAACTCTTAATAAATTACGTTGGAAACGATTCAAGGATATTTTATATATTTTATTCTTTTAATTAAATGCGTACGTAGTATGAATATTCTATTTGATATTAATATTAATTATTCGAACATCTTTATCCAAATACTTTAATCTGAATGTTTTGTAACCAGATAATATTATTCCATTATTCATAACAATGTAAATGTTCTAATGTTCTAACATTCTGGTGTTTAATGTTCTAATATCCAGTGTTTCCAATGTTCTAATCATTGGCATTGAAAAAACAAAAGGATGAAATTGGAAAATATTATTTGTTGAAAAATTGTTCTAATATTCAATGTTTTAATGTTTAATGTTCTAATATCCAGTGTTTCCAATGTTCTAATCATTGGCATTGAAAAAACAAAAGGATGAAATTGGAAAATATTATTTGTTGAAAAATTGTTCTAATATTCAATGTTTTAATGTTTAATGTTCTAATACTCAATGTTTAATGTGCTGATATTCAATGTTTCAGTTCAATGTTCAATATTCTTGCGTTTAATGTTCTAATATCCAATATTCAATGCAATGAAAATGAAATTTAATTTGAAATTGACTTCACATGGTGCAATAGCATGAGGCAAAATATGTATTAAGTATTAATTATTGAAGCAAAAGATGCTCAAGAAATTAGAAAGTGCTACAGAATTAAGAAAACCATATAACATTAGAAAATCACAATCATTGGCATTGAAAAAATAAAAGGATGAAATTGGAAAATATTATTTGTTGAAAAATTGTTCTAATATTCAATGTTTTAATG